CACGTTGGGGCCGGCGCTGCTCAGGGACTCAACATCTCGACATACCGAAAGGACATCACAGATTGCTGCCAAGGTGGCGTCTGATAACAAGATGGAAGCCACTGGCTTAAACCCTACCATTCAGAATCTCGGCGTTGGCCTTACCTCGAGCTTGCTTGGCGCTGTCAATGTTTCATCCCTCGCTTCTGGCATTGACGTGCAGCCACTCGTCATGTCACTTGCTCAGGGTCTTGGAAACGGCACTGTTGCTGGCCTAAATCTCAATCCCGCATCACCCATGTTGATGGTCAGCAATGAAACAAGCCTTGCCAATATCGCTGGTACCCTTGGCTTCGGCTTGACGCAATCGGTCACCTCAAATATCGACACCAAAGCCATTATTGGCTCACTGAACAACCCCAATAACACGGCCGCCATCATGAAAAACCTTCCAGACGCCGCCGCGGGCATTGGCAGAGGTCTAGGAGAGGGTGCAGCCGTTGGCCTCGGCCTTCAGGCAAGTATGCCTGTTCCCATGCGCCAGATGCCCGACGGCGCAATCGACATTCTTGGTGTTTCGCAAACATTTACTAAGGAGCTGACGGCTAGCTTCTTGCAAAATGGTACAGCTTCAAAGCTATCTGGCATGCTTGGCGGTTCCATGGGCATGCAGCCTCCTGCCAACAATGCTGGTGGCATCCCCAGTACCATTTCCATCAACGGGCAGAATGTTGAGATCAGCCGTGTTGCCCAAGGTTTTGCCAGTGGACTACTGCAAGGTGCAGGCGACACCATCCAAGGCATGGGAGGCGTTCAAGCCCTGGTCGATTCTAGCTCCAACACGCAGACAGGAAACGCGCGCATGGGCGCCATGCCCCCTACGCAAGTTCAATTCGACGACGGCATAGGTGGTGCTGCAGCTGGCCTTGGAGCTGGCATCGGTGGCCAAGGTGTTTTGCTGGTTTCAATGCTCATCACCAACCCTACGGGCACCCCGGCGGTCCCTGCGCCCCCTTCAGCTGTACCAGCGCCTGGGCTTCCAGCTCCAGACATGCAAGTCCCGGCTGCACCGGCTCCCGGCAATATGCCCTCCCTCCCGGCACGTTGGCGCAGGGGCCTCGGGCTAGCCTCCCGACAGGACCCCTCTGTCAATGTTGACACGTCAAAAGGCTTCAACCTGTCTGTCATCATAAATGCGCAGACTGTTTCATCAGCGGCTCAGGGGGGCATCGATGCCCTGACGTGCCAGGGCGTGGGCGGTGGCCTCGGCAACATCTTGCTTGGCTTATTCCGAAGCAAGACCATCTCGACAGGCTCTCTGAACAACGATAATACTACAGAAACAATCCGGCAGGTGATTCCTACGGGAATCATCAAGATCAAGAACGAGGGGAACACGTACGCTGTCGATGGCAGGGTCATTCGCGAAAGCTTCAGCAATAACATACTTGGCGCCGTCAATGGCATTGAAATTAATGGCATGAAGCTGGCCGCCTGGATTGCTTTCATTGTCATCCACAGTCAGTCTTCCAAATCCTGGTTATTCTTTTACATTATTACTTACTTTACCGTCACAGTCTTGTTCGCCATCATTGCCTTCGTCAATGTTTTACCCATCGCGCTCGGCCTCGAGAGCATGCGTAGTCTGTTGCATAGAGCCAACCTTCCTCATATCCTGCCGAAGATCCCCAAGTGGAACAATATCTTGTGGTTATTTGTTATTGCCCCTTCAATTCTTATCGTTTTCGTTTTCGGCGTCGTCCTCTATGGCAACACGCGCCACTTCCGTACCGCTCATGGAGTAAGTTCCCGCCACCTCCTCAAGTCCTCTCACCTCAGCTGACATAAAGCAGATCATCAGTCTTATTACAACCCTCGTGGGAATTGCGGCCGTGGCGCTTCACATTCTTGTCATGGTCAGATCGCCGCCTCAGAGCATCGGCGAACGTCTCCCTCAAGGCCTTCTCAGCCTCCCCAACGTCCGCAACATTGTCAATCAAGTTTTCCTTTTTTTAGCCGTGGCCTCCGCCATGACTGGCTTCGCAGACCTCAGCTCCGTTGCACTTTGCCTGACGCAGATCATTCCCTTCGACATTGCGCTTAGTGTAGGCTTCGGCTTATCGACGCCATTTGCTCTAGGGTCCTCCGTCATCGGTCTTGAAGCGTACCTGACCTTCCGCGAGGCTCGGATGAAGAAGAAAGCCTTGAAGAATGGCAGCAAGAACGAGGAAGTTGTTATTGTGAAGCTTGCCAGTGACGGATCTGAGATGATTTAAGTTTTGCTACGATGTCATGATGTTATGTATCCTATGGAGATTTTGGTACCCGAGGCTGGGATGTGGCGTTGTTCGTGGAATCTTCGGCTGCGATGCAACTGAGTGGCCGCTGTACTCTCTTTATTATACCCAATGCTGTCTGGATACTCAAACCCTTGCTACTGATAGTGATCTTTCGGAGAACCTGCGTTCTTTGTTTTCGTGTCGGTGGTCAATTTGGGCCTGCAATATAGTCAGCTGTCAAACGAAGAAATCAAATTTCCCCTCACTGGAGACCCCTTCAACTCGATCTAGCATCGCTACATCAAGATCATGTCGATCTCGGAATGTCTTCACGAATAGCCGGCTTGACTGACACGTTGCTTTCATCGCTTCCGTGGCGAATCCGGCAGGGATCGCTGGACTTTGGCTCCAACCATGGTACCCAGCCGGTTGCCGAGTGAGGGATGGCCAATGGCACGAAAGATTCCGAGCTTGGCTGCCCAGATGCGATTTTGCCATGGCTTTGAAAAGCCTATGGTGCTAAAGACCTCCGTTTTCCGAAAAAGGAACGCTGGTTGGCAGGAAGTTCCGATCGCACAGCCTTTGGTCTGGAGTCGCGTGATGTGTAACACAGTCCGCAGTACGCCAACAAAGGCCCGATATTTCTGATTGACCAAGACTCTTGATGCTATGAACGTTCCTCCAACAATCAAGCTTGGTCCAATCAGCTATATTAAAGATGCACTCTCGCAGGCTTAGTATCCACGTGCTAGATTCGCCCTTGAGCAGCTTACCTCATGTGAGGAACTCATTTGCTGATCTCCTTGGTTCAGATCATAATGCTTTCTGTTCTACACCCTTGGAGGCAATGAGGAATCTAGGAGCCATTTGGGAATACGGCAGTAGTTCCGAGGTTGGATCTGCCCCCATCTCTGAAGGCCCCGGCAGCGAAAGGACCCCATTCCCAAGAAGAAAGGCCCCCGTGCAGAAGGCCCCCAACCATTGTGCGCTTCTTCAAAAAATTGACCAACCTTGA